CCACGCGCTTTCAGCCTCGCCCGGCCCGTGAGGCCACGCCGCTCCGCTGGCCGCAGGGAAAGAGTGAGGTCAGCGCACGCACACACGCACGCGTGTTACCTGGACTCGGGGTACTTGGTGAGCGTGGCCAGGCTGCTGGTGTACATGTGGCCGCCGACGTCGATGTGGACGGGCGCATTGGACTTGGTGAGCTGGGCGGGCGTCGGGATGCCTTGGTTGTTGAGTGGAGACGCGGGAGATCGAGTGATCAGGGGTCTGGACATATTGGGCCGACTGTCCTACGGGGAGAGAAGCAAGTTAGACACGCGTTCTTCCTTCAGGGGCGAGAGGGGGAACGCACATCATAAGGCACACGCCGGGAACGCGGGCCCGTGACGCTCACTGGGTCATAGAACCCGCAGGTGCTCACGCCTGTGAGAACAGGTGCGAGAAAAACGAGCTCTGTAACGAGGGATGGCGTCCAGGCTCAGGACCAAGGAGCTCACTCACGCTCGTCCGAATCATGGGTCGATTCCAGTATCCCGAGGGCTCCGGCCAATTTCACTCCCGGATCCTCGCACTTAGCGAGCGGCAGCTGGCACGGGGGTGGGGTGGGGTGGGGGGGGGAGGCACGATTCAGACCAACCGAAGAGCTAACCGGCACTTCACACACTGCACACCACGTACGGGAAATACGGATGCTCTACCCCGCGCTTGGGAAACTTAACTCCATGCCTTGAAGTGAGTACAGGCTTCTCAGCACCTGGTCCCACAAGGTGTTTCCTTCCATTTCTATTTTTTAAATTATTATTATTTTAAATGTATTTTTATTGATTTCAGAGAAGAAGGGAGAGAGAGATAGAAACATCAACGATGAGAGAGAATCATGGATCGGCTGCCTCCTGCTCGCCCCACACTGGGGATGGAGCCCACAACCCGGGCCTGTGCCCTGACCGGGAATCGAACCGTGACCTCCTGGTTCACAGGTCGACGCGCAACCACTGAGCCACGCCGGCCGGGTGGAATGGTGCTTTGAGAAAGTGAAGCATTACATCCTTTCCACGGAGACTTAGAAATATTTGAAAATGGAACCCTATGGCCTCTGCTTTTAGGGGACACGTACCCCCTGACGTCCTGTTAGAAAGTGGTCCCCCCACCCCTCCCGGTCATAACCGGCCCAGGGCCGCAGCGCCTGTAACAGTTTTCCGATTGGACACACCCTCCATCCTGCCGGCGGGGGCCGGGCGAAGGGGCGGATTTGCAGGGTCGATGCTGTGTTGGACGGTGACCTCGCTCAGCACAGCCCACGCTGGCAGGCCTGGCCGGGAGGGAGAAGCATAACGGATGGGCTGAAGGGTTCCAGATTTCTCGGAATACGTACCATTGACATCGGAAATCATAAATGTATGGATGCTGCCGACTTTAAACATTAAACCCGTGTTTCCTCCGCTGGGGTTGGGAGGGGACTAGCCCCTGGGGGCAGGGCCAGTTTCCTGCATCTGTACCATCCAGGGTGGTCCCCCCCCATCCCCCCGCCACGGCACCTGAGCATTGGACATGTGGCTCGGGCCACTGAGGAACCGAGCTTTTAATTTTAATGAATTTACACTTTAATTTCGTGGCCGCGTGCAGCTGGTGGCTGTCGCATTGGACAGCATGAATCTGTGTTACTACATGAAGCCCACAGCATGGGAACATGGATGTCTCACCCACGGGGACACGGAGGGACGGTGGTGTTTGAGAATTGCATACAAATGACCTATGACCCGCAACACACGTGTTTCCCTCTCCCCTTCAACACCGTTTCTCCCTTCACTGAGCTTATGAGAATAAAAGACACAGAAGGCCACACAATGAGGAAGGGAATGATGAGGCGCCACAGCACCCACGGATCTCCCAGAGGATGTGCCGGGAGAGGGTGCGGACACTCGCCCATCCCGTGTGGCCCAATCCCCACGACAGGACGGACGATAACTCAGACCTGGGACAGCCACGCTCAGGTGCTGGCCCCTGTGGGTGCAGAGCACCGGCCCTGTGGGGGGACTGATGGTGACGGGGAGCAGAGCACCAGGCCTGTGGGGGGACTGACGGTGACGGGGTGCAGAGCGTGTCCTGTGGGGGGACTGACCGGGACGGGGTGCAGAGCGTGGCCTGTGGGGGGACTGACGGTGAC